AAATTATATTTTGAGCAACTAAAAAAACTTAAGTTTCTAACATATAACTCAACTGGGAAATTCCTTATATAAATAAGTAAGCAATTTAAGGAAAATAAAAAATAGAAGTTTATGCCGGGACTGGTTTGGCTCAATGGATAGAGCGTCGGCTTGGGGACTAAAGGTTCCCAGGTTCGATTCCAGTCAAGGGCATGTGCCTTGGTTGCAGGCATATCCCCAATAGGGGGTGTGCAAGAGGCAGCTGATCGATGACTCTCTCTCATTGATGTTTTTAACTCTCTATCTCTCTCCCTTCCTCTCTGTATAAAATGAATAATATATATATATATATTTTAAAATAGAGGTTTATATAATGATTCTACAACTTTTGAAGCCTATTTTACTTGAGATAAAACAACAAAACAGAAAGCAATTTTAAAAATGTAATAAAATATGTTTTATTTTCAGTCTTTAAAGTAATTGTTAATTTCCTTAGAGAAATTCAGGAGGCCTCCCAATAGACTTTTCACAATTGGGAAAGCAAAGTGGTAGAGTTATTTAAAACTTTTTATGCTTTTTTATGTTTAAAAATATATACAAATGTATATGTACTATAATAGATACCTGATGTACGAAGATTTATGCAGAATGGGCCTTCCTCATCCTGGCTGCTGGCACAGCCTTTGCTCTGGCCTGGCATCACTTTTACACCTTCTCATGCTGCCCAGAGTCCAGAGCAGCTGGAGCCATGCTGCGAAAGGCCTATGTTTTTGCCATGGCAATGATGCAAGCTCTGGCCCCACCCCCACCCTCCTGGGCACCTGTGTATGCAATTTAAACTGCTATCTTTGTTGGGTTAATTTGCATACCACTCCTGATTGACTGGTGGGTGTAGCGAAGGTACGGTCATTTGCATCTTTCTCTTTTATTAGTGTAGATATAAGTCACAAATATTAAGAAAAATCAGTATGTTTTCATACATGATTGCAAAGAATTAAGATTGTTTAACTTTAGCATTATAAGCAAGCATTAAAAAAAATGAGCCCCATCAAATATTTTGACACATTTTACCTAGCATTCCTTAAACCATTTATTTATAGGCTCTAAGGGTTTATAAAGCCATAGCACACAATTATTTAATTCAGTATAAACTGTTTTTGATATAAAGAGTCCTGTTTAAGTTATACTCTTGATGAGGATAATGAAAAGGAAAGGCTTCTTTAGCTCTTTGGCCTATGACACAATTTCCATACTGGAAATTCTAACTTCTAGGGCACCTCTACTTCACTACAATGCTATTTGCTTACAGTTTGGAATTTCTCTAAGCAAACTCCACTAAGCATGACCAGTAGTCACATCATTTCCCATAGACTGACTGCTTCCATGCAGTTGAGAACCCAACATTGTCGCAGCTAAGAAGCTAGGTAAAGCGCTGATTCCCTGCAATGGCATCCAGCATATGACCACTTGACAGGAGTGCTGCCCACCGGAGCTCACGACGTTGATTAAGTCCCATTTGACTGAGCCTATTGTGAATCACCCCCCCACCCCCTGGTCACTTTCAACCCTCCTGAGAAAATTAGAGAGATGGCATTGAGGTAGAAGAGGAAGTTTCCCCTGAGAGAACCAGCCCATTACCTCTACCATATAAATGCAGTGATCAAATGCCCTCTGTTATACAATTCATAATCTTTTCAAGGAAGTCATCATCACTGAAACTATTGAAATGCACATTTTACCAATTATGAGAATCATAACTTCATAACAATACAAAAATTTGATATCATTATTATAACTTTTATTTAAGTGGTAATTCTCCCACATTTTATACTTTCTTATTTCTTTCTATCTTCAGTGAAAAGTGAACATAAAAAGAAGTTCAGATGTTTAGCTTTAGAGTAAGATACAGTCATCATTTCATGATTTTGCTTGTGATAGTTGCAGAAACTCATTCAGAAGTATTCTCATTTCAGACTGTTGTCTCTTCAACTGCTTTTCTGCCTCTTCCTGAAGAGTGACAAATAAAACTAAAGAGATTAACAAAAAGAAACGTCCACATCACTGGGAGTGCGGGGTGGGGAGGATAAGCCAAAATCATTGACTATCCTCACTTATTTTTTAAGAACTTTGGTAGTTGAAGGCGATCAACACTGCAGGTGAGGTCCGTTAGGAAAGACCAGGCTGACAGAGGAGGGAAGTTGGGGGCAAACAGGCTGGCAGGGGAGCAGTTAGACATCAATCAGGCTAGCATGGGAGTGGTTAGGGTGATCTGAAATCCATATTTTTTATAGATTTCAAAAAGGGAGGGTAAGGGATTGAGAGATAGAAACAACAATGATGAAAAGCATTGATCAGCTGCCTCCAGCATGCCCTCTACTAGGAATCTAGCCCACAACCTGGCATGTTCCCTTAACAAGAATTGAACCTAGGACCCTTGAGTCTGCAGGCCAATGCTCTAGCCACTGAGCCTAGGGCATAGCCTCAGTTATTTTAAGCCATCAATAAACAGGACAGTCCCTAAACTCTCCTTTTTATTCATGCCCATTTTACCTCTCATGTTTAGTTTCCTACCTAAATAATTCTCCCATATCTCTTTCTCTAACTCCAGAAACATCACCATCTCTCAATTCCTGAAGGGTTGGTGTTCCAAGAATTGCATCGTGTGGTCCCTTACCCCTTCCTCTTTGAGCAATCTGAGTCACATCTTAACTTCAGTTTTTATTTCTACACAGAGGAATATCAGATCTAATTCTTTGAAGAAAGGCTAATACAACAACTGGGTGTCTAAGTGACAATCCCAATCAGGTGATGCATCTGGGCCTTGGATCAGGGAATTTGTTTCCAGTCTCCACAGTTATAGGGCAGAGTGGATGAAAGATTGAGGAGAACAAGAATCCCAGGTTGAGCTGGCACCGGTTTGGCTCAGTGGATAGAGCGTCGGCCTGTGGACTGAAAGGTCCCGGGTTCGATTTCGGTCAAGGGTATGTACCTTGGTTGCAGGCACATTCTCAGTAGGGGGTGTGCAAGAGGCAGCTGATCGATGATTCTCTCTCATCGATATTTCTAACTCTCTATCCCTCTCCCTTCCTCTCTGTGAAAAATCAATAAAATATATTAAAAAAAAAAAAAAAAAAGAATCCCAGGTTGACCATCATGCCCTAGTGTATAGATCTGTATTCACAAAAATGTCTTGGGGCTTCTGGAAAACTAAGACCTACAGGTAGACTGGTCACCCTGGTGGAAGTGTTCACATAAGAATTCATACTAGGTTTGCAGAAATAAAAATACTGCAGTTCTCATTCTCTGGGAAGGCAGTTTGAATAACTTTCTAGGATATGTGATAATGACATTTAGTTATCTCTTTGGAACCTAATGTTTTTAATGAGAAAAATGGGGACATAATGGTTCTGCTTCATAATGAACAGATTAAATGAGAGAATGCACTTAAAGTACTTTGTACAGTACTTAGTAAGTAGGAACTACTGCTTATTGAGTAATCCTACCTAATAAAAGAGAAATGTGCAAATTAACCATCACTCTGCTATACCCACAAGCCACGCCCATTAGCCACATCCACCAGCCAATCAGAGTGAGCATGCAAATTAACCCAACCAAGATGGCTATCAGGAGGGAGGCTTGGGTTTCCCCAGCAACAGAGGAAGCCAAGCTATCCACACACCCTGGCAGGCCCAGGCCTCCACTCAAGGCTACAAAGTTTCAAAATAGAAGTTAAACAAATCCAAACAGAAATGGCTGCCACCACAGAGCAAGCAGGAGGCTTGGCTCCGCTCCAGGCTACAAAGTTTCAATTGTAGAAGGTAAATAAAAAAATTCCAGATACCAGGGCCTCTGCTTGGGTTACCAGGGGGCATGGATGGCCTGCAAACCACCACAGGCCCCTCGCCCAGGCCACCCCATGCCCCAAGGGAACCCCACTCTGATCCAGGACATCCTTCAGGGCAAACCAGCTGGCCCCCACCCATGAACCAGGCCTCTATCCTATCTAATAAAAGAGTAACATTCACATTGACCATCACTCCAACACACAAGATGGCTGCCCCCTTGTGGTCAAAGATCCTGCCCTCATGTGGACACAAGATGGCCACCACAAGATGGCTAGCAGGGGAGGGCAGTTTGGAGGGACTAGGTCTGCAAGGGAGGGTAGTTGAAGGCAATCAACATTGCAGGTGAGGTCAGTTAGGGATGACCCGGCTGACAGAGGAGGGAAGTTGGGGGCAAACAGGCTGGCAGGGGAGCAGTTAGACATCAATCAGGCTAGTATGGGAATGGTTAGGGTGATCAGGCTGGCAGGCAGAAGTGGTTAGGGGAAATCAGGAAGGCAGGCAGGTGAGCAGTTGGGAGCCAGCAGTCCTGGATTGTGAGAGGGCAGTTGGATGTCCCTCGAGGGGTCTCAAATAGGAGAGGCTGCAGCTGAGGGACACACACACACACACACACACACACACCATCCCTCGCCTCTGTGCAAGAATTTTGTGCACCGGGCCTCTAGTGATGGTAATAATCTTGGATGAAACAAACTCTGCAAGTTAAAAGCCTCAGCACCAGTGACAACTAAGGCAAAAACAGGGACATAATATTAAATCAATTTAACAAAATAATCTATGGCCAAAGGAAAAGATTGTTTATAGCAATTAACCACTTAACAAAAAAGACTACTGTGAGTTGGAAATATCCTTATTTAACAAAACACACTGCTTATTCTGTGCTCAGCACTAATCTAAACACAAATATTTACTCATTTATTATTAAATTGCCCTATAAAAGAAGTGTTAATACTGTCTCCATTTTCCACAAGTGGAAACTAAGGGACAGATAACTTTCCCAAGCCATTTATTTAGTAAGATGTGGAACTGGGATTTTTAATAGGCTGTCTAACTCCAGAGCCCTTTCCCTGAGCCATAAAGTTATGCTGCTCTCCCTCTTTGTCACTGTTTCATGCTCTAATTAATTCAGAGAGGGAGGAATGATTAAAATGATGAGATGAAATAACGGGTGAGTACCTAGAGCTGACGTTCCATAGCCATCTGTTGCTCTTTCAGCAGTTGCTCTCTGTTTATCTCCAATTGTCTCAGGTGCTCCTGATGCTGTCTCTCCCTCTCCTCCATCATTTGCTGGTTGTGCCTTTTAAACTCCTCCAACATTCGTGTGTCAGCCTTTGCAGCCTCTGCTTTTAAATAAGCTTCTGAGAAAGAAGAAAATGACAAACTCCTCTAGGATTAAAGTGTCCTTCCTTCTGTCTCCTGCTCTTATTGCTTATTTCTTATTACTGCTTCAGAGAGAAAACTGCCTGGGGCCATTTTGCCTTTTCAGATGACAATATGCACCCTACTCGGATAAAACTTGAAGAGCTAAAAGTCATCTTTGCCGTTCTTGCTCTAGTTTAATGACCCCAGGTAAACCAGGCCAAATAAATTGAAAATGTACAGAAAGTTCTATCTTGCATTTCTTCCATTTTCCTCTCACCTTTCCTCTCCTTTTCCTTCGCAGTGTAAACCAGGTCTGTATATAGAATGACATCACTCACAGACTCCTTGGACTGTAAATAGTTTTGCAGAGCTTCTTCCGCCTAGGAAACCCAAAACCATGCAGTTAAAAGTAGGAAGTGGTGATCGGGCCTGTTGTAAACCTTTTCACTTCCTTTTCTTCCCAGAATCTTTTCCTCCCCAGAACTGCTCAGCCTGCACTCAGTGAAACTGTCAATCAAGCCTCTTCCATCACAAGAGTGGGCACAAACTCTGAGCTGGCTAAGCAGAGCACCCCCAGCTCACTTGGTACAAAATAATTTGGTATAGGTGAGAAAATGCTCGATATGAATGTTTTATTTTATTTTATTTTTTTTTTTAAATTGATTTTGTACAGAGAGGAAGAGAGAGAGATAGAGAGTTAGAAACATCGATGAGAGAGAGTCATCGATCAGCTGCCTCTTGCACACCCTCTACTAGGGATATGCCCGCAACCAAGGTACATGCCCTTGACCAGAATCGAACCCGGGACCCTTCAGTCCCCAAACCGGTCTCGGCTCAATATGGATGTTTTAAAGACTGATATGGATGCTGGGGAAAATGTTCTCTCTCCTCTGAGACTGAGGACAAAAGAACTAGTTATGCTTGGAGATGTTGGTGTCCTCTTTGCTGCCGTGCCTGAGAATGAAGCCCATAGGAAAAGAGAACAGAAAACTAAGTGGGACTTGGAAAGAAAAAAAGGTAGGGGAAAATTGATGCCATTGTTTAAAATCCTGAATGTAGCTGTAGTTGCAACTAAATTTAAATGTTTCATGTAAGCCAATGAATTACTGTTTTTTCCTGCGCATTTCTATTACTGCAATTCTGCCCCATGTAACCAAAAAAGTCCCTTTGTTGCCATGAATGATGATAGTTGCAGCATAATCACAATTCCGGTGATTATGGTGGTAGTTTAGTTTAATTCTTCGGCTACATTAGAGTATACATACTTTCTTCATGTCTTCCCTGGATTTGGAAAGAAGCCGTTCCCCACTCCAAACCCCCAACAATTTCCCACAATTAATGCATGAAACGAGGAATACCTGTATTCCTTTCCTAGGCTCCTGATAGTACTTTGCCTTCAGTTCCTCTCTCTTCTGAATGAAGAGGCGGTGCCCTCCAGGCTTTGAATAAACCAGCTGCTTCGCATATTCTTCCAGAGGACCAAAAATATCTTGAAGTAAAGCTGAGCAACGATCTGATGATGCCTCCAAGTTCTGGTTACGAAAGTCATCTTGTTTTCCTTTCAGCAGGGTCTTCAAAGGGGCAAAGGCCCACGGAAAAGATGTTAGCAATACTTCAGTATTTCTATAAATGATTCTCTGAGAGAGTATTGATTTTCTAGAAACTAGAGAACAACAGCAAGACTATATCCTTTCTACCAAGCCTAGGAAAGATCCAAGGATATTATGGTATAGAAAAATGACTTTAGTTTTGTGTTCCAACTCTCCTGAAACCCATTTCTCTTAATATTTCTGCTTTAGATGTGATCTTCAGACTACAAACACCTAACCTCATTACGCCCTAATTTTGTACACAACCTACTCATTTACGACCACTCCTTCTTTCTGCATTTTCCTGTGTCTTGGATTCCCAACAAGGAGGCACAGTGAAATAATTGGTTAGAATGTTATGAGTGAATGCTATTAAACCTGGAGACATGATATTTTAGTAGAACCATTTGGAATGTGTTCTTGATTGATATAAAAAGAAAGTTTTTAAAAAAATATATTTTATTGATTTTATACAGAAAGGAAGGGAGAGAGATAGAGAGTTAGAAACATCGATGAGAGATGGTCATTGATCAGCTGCCTCTTGCACACCCCCTACTGGGGACAGGCCCACAACCAAGGTACATGCCCTTGACCGGAATCGAACCTGGGACCCTTCAGTCCCCAAGCCGACGCTCTATCCGGTCCCAGCAAGAGCCAAACCGGTCCCAGCAAGAAAGTTAATTAATACTTTATAAATGCAATTTTTAAAGAATAAGATTAACTTTAAAAAATTAGTCCATGGGTGTAACCTGGTGAGTTGTGTGTGTGTGTGTGTGTGTGTGTGTGTGTGTGTGTGTGTGTTAAAGTATTAAAATCCATACAACTCAGAGTAGTTTCATGTTGTTTGTTTGTTTTCAAAATAAAAGTGAGAGTCATATAAGAGTAATTATTTTCCAGTCTAGTAAGAATTGCTTTTCTTAAGTTCCCATTTTGCATTTCATAGCAATACTTGTATTACATGTATAAGCCCCAGAGGCTAGAGCAAAGAATACTAATTACCTCTAATTCCTTCTGGCACCTTTGGTCCACATCCTTGAAGGAATTCTTGATGAAGACTTCGATGGCTTCCTTCTCACTGGTCCTGTGCAAGTCCAGCAGCTCTTGGAGGTTTTCTGTGGGCAGCTGCACCTTCTGGCCCATCTGCTGGTCATAGTGGGCAATGGCCTTTTGTACTGCAGTGGAGTTCTTGATTTGGGCCAAGGCCAAGACTGTATTCTCCATGGAGGGCAGATTCCCACTGCTGATGGCATTGACATAGGTCAGCACCAGGCTTTCTAGACCTTTAGACAGGAAAGAGATACTTGCATTATTTGTAGAAAAAAGAGGGCATGCTCTAAAATTGGATTGTTCTGAGAATACTAATTTAGCAATGCATTCCCCGAGCTTTTTCGGTATTCTGCATATTGTTAAAGTGGCTCAAATTCGTGGTTGTTTTTGTTTATTTGTTTGTTTTTTTTGAAAATTGTGTGACTAAGAAGCCAGATCTTTCTTTAGGAAAAGAAAGTGTTCAAAGGAGAAATATCAATATCTATGTAATCATCCTCATGCCACCCTTTTTCTATTGAGAAATGAGGAAATGATTAAAATTATGCCTCTTCATTTTATTAGTCTGCTTTAGGCCTTGTTTGCCTCTTTATTCTTTCCTTTCTTTCCCTCTTCCTCAGGTTTCATTTTTCCTTCAGAATTCCCTTTTCTCTGCTACTTCAGTATGTAAAGCTGGTATGCGTATTAGCTGAATAAAACACAAAGTGAGCAAATTAGACTGGCCCATCTTTACTCTTTGTTAGAATTTTCATATTTGTCTTCCTTATTCCTTTCATACTTTTCTTTGCATTCACCATCCTTCTAGAACATCCTTTTCAACCTTTTTCATCTCGTGGCACACATAAACTATTACTAAAATTCTGCTGCACACCAAAATATATATATATATATATTTTATTGTTGATCTGACAAAAAAAAAATAGGTATAATTTAGAGTCATTCCTACCAGCTGGATATTGTTGTATTAACTGTTGTCATATTTTTATTTGACATTCTGAAGGAAAAGAAGTCAGTGCCCTTGACTAAACAATCAGGTATTGCATGTTTTAAGAATTATTGAGCCCTAGCCAGTTTGCCTCTGTGGATAGAGCATTGGCCTGCAGACTCAAGGATCCCAGGTTCGATTCCAGTCAAGAGTATGTACCTTGGTTGCGAGCACATCCCCAATAGGGGGTGTGCAGGAGACAACTAATTGATGTTTCTCTCTCATCATTGTTTCTAACTCTCTAATCATCTCTCCCTATGTAAAAAAAATCAATAAAAAATATTTTTTAAAAAGAATTATTGAGGCACACCATGGGTTGAAAATCATTGCTCAAGAGTATAGCAATAATTCATAGAGTTCTGAGGCATGGTGTCTTTAGAAAAAAATCTGGTCCAAGATATTTGCTTAGATTCTTTTAAAGCTCTAGACAACTTGAGCCTCTGTTTAATGTTTATATCAAGTAAGTTTCATTTTTTACAGAGAACCTGTATATTATCTTGTGCTTAATCCACTATATTCATGGAACAAATGTTGCCAACTCATGTGGTTAGTCTAGTCCAAGAATGAACCACTTATGAATAGAACTCTTTAACTTGACCTTTTCTTCAGATGATATTTCTATTTTATACTATTTTAGAGGCATTACTAAAAAAAAATCAGTAAGAATGTTTTGGGTACCTATATGAATCATGTGATTTATATAATTTTCTTAGTTGTAACTGATGAAGGATTTTCAGCATTGACAGTGAAAGGAGAAACTTTTAAAAGCCCCAGTCTCTATGTTGAGTTGAAGGAAAATCCTAAGGAAGATACTCACAAGGTCCATTGACCTTGATGCCTCCTGAAAGAGTTTTTGTCTTGGAATGGTGAAGGATATAGGAACAGAAATCTTCCACTTGTTGCACAAAATCAGGATCCAGTTTGTCCTTATGCAGTGTCGGAAGTTGGGCAAGCTTCTTCCGGTGAGTGGGTGAGTCAAAGACAAAGCATTTCTTTCTTGCAAAGAACGTCTGAATACAACGACGGGGCAAATTGAAAATTTGATGATTTTCATCAGTGTCTGGGGAAGGAAAAATAGGCTTTATTGAGTATAGAATTAGCATTCATTTTAATGTATTTCCTATGAATAAATTTTCCTGATATTATCTATTTCAACACATCTCCACAAACTCTTAAAAAAAAAAAAAAGTTAAAAGGTAACCCATCATGAAAAGGAAGAAAGAAAATAATTTGCTCCAAGAACAGTGAGCAATAGTATCTCATATTGAATCTAATAGTTCACTTTAAATTAGTAGTGTTCATTATTTGCTTGGCAGTTAAACCAAGTGATTAAATATAGGAAACTATAAATGTAACCATTTACATACAGAGATATCTTCATGTTACTTTTCTCTCCCTTTCCAAAACTGAAGTCCCTGTTACCTTCTTTCAGCTTCAACGAGTTCTCCAGGTAGTCATCTGCTGTGATGTGTTTCCCATCTGCCTCCAGGGACAGGTAGAAATCTCTCAGAGTCCACACTAAGTCTGGACAAAAGCTCACAGCATCCGCTGCATCTTCAACTCCATCAAGATCAGGTGGGGATACTGTGCTGAGATGATTTGACAGTTCTATTACATAACTGAGATATAATTAAGGAAAACTGGTTGGAAATAGGACTGCATCTAAGCCCATATTGAAATCCTTACATCCCTAAACCATTATGTTCTCTTTTGGTTGTAACCAATTCTTCATAACATCACTAAGTATAAGGGCTGTTTTTCTTGTACTTCTAATGTTTATCATGTTTTTATGTTTGTGTTTGATTCAAAAGTTTCATAAACACAGCTGGTGCATAGAAGAGTTTTCTCTGGCTTTGGTACCATCCTGGATTTTAAAAGGATACTATAATAAATCGATAGCCCTCTGGTCAATTACGTTCATGGTGTTGTAAACAAAGGTACTACTCAATAGTATTGCCAGTGCAAAGATCTGAGTATCATTATTCTGGTCACCCTAGAAGTCAAAACAAATGTAAGTCATGTCTTGTGGCATTCTCAGATGAGAAATCATTAAAAATAAGCCCCCTGGGAGGATCCAAGATGGCTGCACAGGTAAATACCTAACCGCAGCCGCACACAACAATTTCAATGGAATATAACTAAAATATAAAATGGATATTCCCCAGAGCTTCAGGTAGTCGACTGACTGAAAATTCTACAACAAGAAGGAAAGAGAAAACCAGAAGGAAAATCAGAGGATCTGAAAAAGCCTAAGGTATGGAGACATGCTGCACGCGCACGCAGAGAGGACGGAGCTGGAGAGGAGGGGAAGGCTGGGTGCCTGCCTGGCATTCCCTAGCAGGAAGGAAATAAAAGCCCCGGACTGGGCTGAACCCCAGAACCAGCAGTGCTGAGCCCCAGTTCTAGGCCAGACTCTGGAGACCCAGGCTCAGGCAGGGGGAGACGGGGCTGTGAGGCGGAATCCCAGGGGAGCGGCGAAAAACAGAGCCCCCGGAGTCGTGCACATTGCGCGCAGAGGACGGAATGTTGACTCTGATGCTGGAGTGCCCTAGCGGGAAGAAAACAAAACCTCCGGCTGTGCTGAGCCCCAGTTCCAACTGCTCTGAACCCCAGTTCTAGGCCAGACCCTGGGGACCCAGGCTCAAACAGAGGGAGACGGGGCTGTGAGGCAGAATCCCGGGGGAGTGGCGAAAGGCAGAGCCCCTGGAGTCGCACACATTGCACGCAGAGGACAGTCTGTTGACTCTGATGCTAGACTGCCCTAGCTGGAAGGAGAAAAAAGCTCCAGACTTGAAAGAACATGATGAGGCGCAGGAGCCGCTGCTGGAAACAGGCCAGCCGGGCGCCGGCAAGGACCCGGGGGGGAGGTGCCGCTGGGCCCTCGACCGCTGATCACGGGCCACGTTGCCAAGGCTGGCGGCTGCTTCCTGGGTGGTGCTGACCCCGGCAACAGGCTGAAGCCACGCAGGAGGCCGCGGAGAACAAAGGGGCACTGCGGGCCAGCCTACTGAGCTTCCAGGACGAGGAGGAAGAAACCGAAGTTTTCAATGTGAAGAAATCAAGTTATAGCAAAAGATAGTAAAATTACTTAAGAAAGAATACAAAGAAGACCTTGAAAAATCGAAGACTAAGACAGAAAAAAAAAAAAAAAAAAAAAAAGGACAGAATGTTGGAGCGGCAGCGGCCAGGCCCAGAGTGGCCAGGCACAAGGCAGTGGCAGCTAGGCCCAGAGCAGTAGCTGCCAGGCCCAGAGCAGTAGCTGCCAGGCTTCAGAGCAGCAGCAGCCAAAACCAGAGCAGCAGCAGCCAGGCCCGGAGCAGCCAGACCTGGGGCAGTGGCAGCCAGCCCTGGGGCAGAGGCGGACAAGCTCAGGGTGGCCCGGCCCGGAGCAGCCAGGCAAGGAGTGGCCAGGCCCGGAGGGGCCAGGCCCAGAGCAGCCGGGTCGGGAGCAGCCAGGCCCAGAGCAGCAGCAACCAAGGCGAGAGCAGCCAGGTCGGGAGTGGCCAGGCCCGGAGCGGCCGGGCCCAGAGCAGCCAGGCCCAGAGCAGCTATGTCAGGAGCAGTAGCAGCCAGGCCTAGAGCGACCAGGTCTGGAGTGGCCAGGCCCAGAGCAACAGGGCCCGGAGCAGCCAGGCGGGAGCAGCCAGGCCCAGAGCAGCAGCAACCAAGCCCGGAGCAGAGAAGTTGGGAGCGGCCAGGCCCGGAGCAACCGGGCTCGGAACAGCTTGGCCTAGAGCAGCCGGGCCGGGAGCAGCCAGGCCTGGAGCAGCAGCAGCCAGGCCGGGAGCGGCCGGGCCCAAAGCGGCCAGGTCGGGAGCAGCCAGTCCCAGAGCAGTAGTAACCAAGCCCAGAGCAGCCAGGTCGGGAGTGGCAGTGGTCAGACCCGGAGCAGCTGGTTGTGGAACAAACCAGAGCAACAGAGGCCAGGCCCGGAACAGCTCACTCCTCGCCTGCCCATGCCCCAGGGCTGCCTCTCAGACATGGCTGGAAACTTTTTGGGGAACTTGAGGGTCTGCTGAATCAAGTTATGAAGGCTTAGATCTGGATGTGTTGAGTTAGTATAGCGCTGGGGTGTTGATCTGTGAGTGCCTTGTATGGGGTCTGGATGAGGTTGGTTGATCTATTTGGAAATGTTTTTTGTGTGAAGTGTGCCTTGGGCATGTGGAGGTATTATTGATTTGAGAAAATGCTAAGTAACTGATTTACTACCTGAAAAATTTAAAGTTCTGAAAGTTTAAGGTCTCTTGCCAAAAAGAGGTTTTAAAGCTAACACCTTAATTTTAATGGAAAAAGGGGAGGACAAGCCCTTCCCACCCAGAATAGGTAATCCAATTCCAACCAGCAGCTATCTTTAAACAATTTGTTCATTTACATTTGAATCGCTACACCTTTTGATAGCCTAAGGGCAAGTTTACATGTAAACAAGTTTGCTTCTCAATTCCCAGGGCAGAAAAAACAAGGTTTAAAATTATTAGATTTTAAAATTTATTCTTAAAAATGTAAAAGTTTATTAATTAAAAAAACAAAAAACAGCAACAACAACAAAAAAAGGAGATTGAAAAACCTGATGAACAATATTAGCTGTTGATTGTAGTAGAGTCGGAGATACGGGAGGGGAGTGGACTGACAGTTCTCGGGGAAAGGGAGAGTGGTGGATGCGGGAAGAGACTGAACATAAACTGTGCACCTATGGATAAAGACAATGGGGGGTGAAGAGGGGGCAGAGGGTGGGGTGGGAACCTGGTAGAGGGGGGAAGAAATGAGGAACCTTTGTAATAATATGAACAACAAAGATTGATTTAAAAAAATAAAAATAAAAATAAAAATAAGCCCCTGACCTACAATGTTAACTGAACAAACAAAAATGATTGTGAGAAACATGTAACTTTGAATAGAATAGTTCTGTCATTAGCACTGATAATTTTTTATGCTATTTTCACTATACTTTAATTTATACTGATACAAAAACATACATGGTATTGACTACTGAATGTCATTGGACATTTGGCATATGTTTTTACAAATCTTCCCCTATCTCAACAATATCACTGATGACCAATGAAGGTAGCCCTTGCTGGCTGGTTCTAGGTGGGATGTTGGGGTGTCATTGGTTCTGTTGTGCCTGGAGACTCCATGATCATGTGGCAGCCCTGTATTGATGGTCTATGGAGGTGCTGTGGTCCTCCATAGAGCTGGCTCAGTGCCCATTCTTGGGAAATGGGGTGAGGAGGGCGTGGGGCTGCTGCCTAATGGCCAGAGTCCATGCCTCCCTGTCCACGTCCTCCAATGGGAGATATTGGCATGTCCACCTGCCATCGCTTCTTGGTGGGTCTTGTAGTTATAATCAGATTTGTTCTGTCTGTTCAGGGTCAACCTTACATAAGATGTGAAGTGCACCTGGCAAAGGCATTGGCCGGACAGATGGAGGAGAAATGCCAACTCATTAAGTTGAATGCTGCTAAAGAGAAGTGCCGGGGAATAGAGTCATCCTTTGACAATGCCAGGTATGAGAAAGAGTCATTAAATATACCCAGCTTTGCCGACACTTGCAGAAAGGTGACCACGACCTACTGGGCGCTGAAACAGGAAATTACATCCCTGGTTCACAAACTGAAGGGAGAGAGATCCAAATGCTTCAGACAAGAGGAGGAGACAGTGGAGACGCTAAAGACCCTCAGGTTCCCGGAAAAGGCCGTGAAAATCTCCACTTCACGAGCTGCTGTTCCAAACCCGCCTGGATGGCCCCCTCCTCTGGGGTGGACCTGGGTCCTCTCCACTAAGGCCTCTCCAGCTGCCAGCTGTGCCGCCAGCCTCCGCCTCCACCTGAGGATCCCTGAGACCAGTGGTGCATCCTTGGGCTGCATGCCTCCTCCTCCACATGCTGTACACAGTGCTCAGCTCCTTCAGGAAGATCCCTCCACATGTAAAGAACACAAGACTTGCTGCACTCTCCAAGAAAGGCGGGCTACTCTATAGTCACAGGATGTTTCCATTCTCTCTTAGCAGCAGTGAAAGAATGTTGTAAAGAGTTGTATATTTGACTCAAATTGTCTTCACCAACCTACATTTCTCAGACTTTTGTCATCATTATATATGGTAATCGAAGTCAACATTTATTATCTTATTAAGGGGATCAATTTGGGCACCTCTGTGTCTTTGTGGGATCCCCACACACTCTAGGCCACAAGTAGGAGGGCTACTGAGATGGGCCTAGAAGCCTAGGGAATGGGCCCTGGTAGAGTCACTTCAGGAGAGGAATTCACCTAACTTAGCAGATACTGCAGGCAGGCCTGACAGCAACTGGATGACTTGGCTTCCCTGCCCTATGGTGCACATTAAGATTCAATCATGAAATTCTGGCAAATTTGTCAGTTACCATTCTTATTATATTTATGCAAACCATCAGGCCAAATTGAATGAAATAGATAAATTGGTCTTTATTTAGCTCTTTTAAAATACATAAGGATAATTTTAAAGATAAAAATTCTATTTCATAAAAGTAATTAGATCTGAAATGTTTTCTTTCTCTTCTATCAGACCATTTGCTATAACTGTTGCTATTCTAATTGATCAATAATATTAATTTTTATAATACAGTTTGTCTCTGTCAGGTCACAAGCCCACCTCCTTCTGGGCCCAGACCTCATTGTCCCTCTGACAGACAGCAAGGATTTCTTGGCCCTGAAAGAAAACTCTATCTTTCTTCAGCTTGGAAGTAGCCAGAGGAGCCCAATCGACATCCATTTTCCCTGAAAGAATTCAGGGCCAGAATCCTTGATGGGATATATCAGGCAGTAAGGCAGACATGAGCAGAACAAGGACGATGGGCCAACTGGCACTACCAAATGTAACTAAGTCTTTCTACCTCTATGTATATAGATAAGGGGCTTAGACCAAACCATCTGGTCTCAGGCACTCAACCATGGGACATCAACACAGAAGGCTGACTTAATTTCCCTTATTCAGGTTCTCTAGTGGGCAAAAGATAAATCAGTAACAATTTATACTGATAGCAGATATGCGTTTGCAACAGATTATGTACCCAGTGCTATTTACAAGGAATGGAGACTTTTGACTTTAGCTGGGAAGGACATCAAAAATAAGGAAGAGATTCTGGCACTACTGGAAGCCATTTGGCACTTAAGGAAGTAGTGAAAGGGCAGGGCAGGGCAAGGCTAAATCCTGACTCCATTTTGTATTGTGGGGCAGGGCCGAGCAGGGTGGAGCTATCCTCCATTTTGTGTAACTGGATCCTACCCCTCACCCAACCAATCAGGGTCAGCCAAAGCAGTGACATCACCACCCTTATAAAACCCCTTGACTTGTCGAAGTTCAGCTCTCTCCCACCATGCTGTCAGCGTGAGAGGGACAGAGCCCATGCTAGCATGGAAGAGGCTCTTTTGTTTATTGCATCGGAGGACTCGGCTCCCTTGGGGATCACGAAGTCTGGGTGTAACATTTGGGGGCTTGTCATTGGTCCACTGTAAGGGACACCAGAAAGGGGACTCCCCCAAAGCAAGAGGGAACTAAACTGTGGATGAAGCAGCCTGGGAGGCTGCCCTGAAACTAGTGGGCCCTCTGCAGATTCTAGTGACTCTTCCAGACCCTGACCTACCCACCTCACCAGCTTACATGGAGCCGTAGAGCTTCTAAAAGATAAGTATATATCCCAATCTAGGAAAGCTAAAATCCTTAACCAATCTTTACTCAAGTTCTTATAGGTTTATAGTTCACCCAAGGAGCAGTCCAGAAGCACGTCTGAGATGTACTGCCTATTACCAACTTCTGATCCAGTTCATCCCTTCCACCCTGGTGACTCTGGGATTAAGAAATTTACCACATAAAGACTTACTCCTACCTAAAGAGGACCACACACCGTCATCTTGACCATACCCATGGCAAGGTCAAGGTTGATGGGATCCCAATGTGGCTTCATCACATTGGGCTTAAGGCTGCACCAGCAGAATAGAAAATCAAGGATTCTTCATCAGACCCACTCAAGCTGAGATCCTCTTGCATGTACTCCTGGCCCTCAGTCTGGGATCCTGTCTTATAAACTGGTTTACTAACTTTATTCAACAGAAAATTAATTCCACCAAGCTTATAGTCCTCAGGGGTCACTATAACTCCCTCCCAGCAATAAAACAAGAATCAATGATTTGACTTATACATAAAACCAATGGGTAATGAAGCATAATAATCCCTCTTTTGGAAAAACTGATGTTTAAAACTGCTGTTTGAAATTCTCATCTATTGTTAAATAGTCCTTTGTTCTGTAAACTCTGTCATTTTTAGACGGTCTCTTATTCTATAAAATAACTTCTTTTTTTAGCTTTAATAATAGAAAAGATAAACTTAACTGTATGACCTTGCAAGCTAGCCATCTAACATAAGGAACTGATACACTGATACTGATAATATTCTCATGCCGGGTATTTGTTAGATATGATATGTACTCAAGGTTATAAGTTGTTTTATAGATATGATATATACTCAAGGTTACAAGTTATCTGCAAAAGTAACATTCACAAAGAACTGACAAGATATAAAAAGAGAATGCTTCTTCTTTTGTTTGTTCAGAATTTGACAGAGATATTCTGCTCTGAAAGGGACAATAAAGATGACTCCTAATTAATTGGCTTGTTAAGGCATCTTGTATCTAGCTCACTGATTTATGATACAACAGGATAACTATAAAGATAGGAAAAATGAATAAAATAATAACCTAAAAAGTAATAATAATGAATACAATAAAAATATAGAATAGGAAAAAAAAACTGGGAAAGAGAAAGGAAAAAAATTAAATTAAAAATGTTATAAAATTAAAGAGAAATAGAAAACAAATAGACTGGAATGAAAGATAGCAATAAGAGAATATAAGAAAGAGAGAGAGAGAGAGAGAGAGAGAGAGAGAGAGAGAGAGAGAGAGAGAAGAAGAAGAAGAAGAAGAAGAAGAAGAAGAAGAAGAGAGAAGAGAAAGAAAAACCAAACCCCCCCAAAACAAAACAAAAAAAACTTTTGCATTTGCTGTTTGTGGAGCTTGCTGGATTTTACTCCAATGTTCCAATGTTGTTGAATCTGACCACTTGGTATGTGGCCTCTGGCTCCCTGGCAGTTCTCTGGTGAGTTGCTGTCCCTGCCTGACCTTGGGTAACCTGACTCAAGCCCTGCAGGGCAGATCCCCAAGTAATCCATGGGCAAGGCCTCCCTAGCCCAGGCACTGAGTCAGCTTCAGGACTGCTTTCCCTCCCCCATGGATCTGGACTCAGTGAGGAGGGACCTGGTGAGATGATTTAAACAGACTGGTGTTGGTGCATCATGCTCTTAGCTTGCTGAAGGGATAGGCAGGCATTTTCTCTCCTAATGCCTCAGCTCTGCCTGGGTCACTAGCACCCCCTTATCACCACCTCAAGCAGGAGGGAATAAAAACAAACAAAGAAACAAAAACAGCCTGGCGTGGCTCTCTAATCTTTCAGCACAGCTGGCTCTTGCTGGGAGAGGTGTCTCCCAAGGCTTCCACAGGGCCAGATGTCCAGTCCCGGGGCTAGATTTCCAGCCATGAGCCATTCCACAAGTGGGGGAAGGGGCTCCTCCTCTTTGTGGGAGGGGGAGAGGATTGCACCTCTTTCCCAGGGCACTCTGTCTGGCCCCCAACCTGCTCTCTGCTGAAAGTTCTTTCAGAAAATAATCTGACCCTCAGATTTACGGCTGGGTGATCTGCTCAGACCCTGGTGAGGTCTGGAGTTCTGATGCGTGACCCTCCCACAGACACCCTCTGGGCCAGCTTCCAGGCAATGTTGAAATCAAGCACTTGTCTGGGATAGTGTGGTCTGAGTACTTATTATACACAAGGCAGTCTACATTATCTTATCTAGTACTCAAAACAAAGCTTAGTGTATGGGGCCCCTTTAGGAATGCACATGTATGACCTTTAAATTAATGTCAGCTGAGTCCAAGGTGACTGGCATGGCCATCTCCGGAAATAGTCTCCCAAAATGTCGGAGACTGTAATCAGTATGAATTTCTTTTCTTTATCATGTGCTTGGAATGAGAAACAAATAGGACCTTGACTTACCCAGGTCTTGATATGCTAAATCTCGTCCTTGTACAAAAAAAAAAGAAAGAAAAAAAAAGAGGAACTTACCCAGGTCTCAATGAATAGAAACTCCTTTTGACCTTTAATCTCCCCTTAATAAATGTGCTGTGTTGTCTGTGGTGGTGGTGGCTGTCCCTTCATCAGATTGACAGCCTCCACCCGGGCACCCAGCTTGAACCTATTTCTGTCTCTTGTCTCTTTCTTTTTTCTCAGTCCCCAGCTCCTCCACTCAGGAACCTGTCCTTCTCCCCTTCAGTGGGGGACACGGAAGAAGGAGAAGCACCCACTGCACTGTAGGATAGATTTATAACTATCTCCATGTTACCTATGAGGAAACTAAAGCACAAATTGAGGTTGACCCTACGAATTCATAGTAAGTCAAAAGCAAAACAAAAACTAAACAACAGGGAAATTCAGGGGAAAGATCAGTTATGTGCTAGAGCTAGCTTACACCAGCCCACAGAAGCTGACTGTTAAATTCCAAACCCTGGGTTTCCTGACTTCACTTTGGAAGCTTGGACTCAGCTATGATGGGGCATTTAGATTATTGGCAAGTATTATGAGGCAAGTCTTTTTCAACTCCACACCCCCAGGAGGCTGGTTGTTAAATAAACACCAGCAAAGAGGTGGGAAAAGCTCCAGTATGTTTACATGATAAGATAGGTAAGGTCAAAGGAAAATCAAAGATTTAAGGAGATTTACTCTTGAGAAGTCAGAGAGCTACAGCTGCCAGAGCCCCAATTTGAACTCTGAGCCAGAGCTGGGTATTAATCATTATTCTCTGTAGGATTGGACTTGGGACAATGATTTTATTTACAACATCTTTCTGCATTTTGGTTAATGACCTAGCCCCACATTAGTGGAGTCTCTCCATCATGACTTTGGCTTAGAAATATTTTTTTCACTTCAGGTTTCCAAACTTTGTCTATTAAATATGGAAAAGGAAATAAAGATATACTCTGTTCAAGTGGAAGTACAAAAATATTCTCTGTAAAGAATGTTCAGAGATGAGAAGGTTGATCAGAAAGGAATCCTTGTTCCTTACCTTCTCTACATCTCCCAGTCCCTCGGTGTCAAGCAGAACCAGGGTATGGTTTGGCTCTGCAGGGTGAGGCACACACCACATCCAGATTCCCTTGGTGTGAGACTGCACCGTGGATCCAACAGAGAAGCCTGCAGGGCGAGTGGAGAGGTTGTAATAGATGAGCGATCTGACAATAAGAGGTGTTCTTGACAAATAAGCTAGGGCTTAAAGAGAGCAAGATGTGGAGATGGAGCAAAGAAAAACCAATATTGATCTGAACTGCAATAGAGAGATGGGAAAATAAGAGTATCAGGTACCAAAGCTTGAAAACTTGATGATTTTTTAAAAAAAAAAAAACATGAATATTATGCTACTAAAATTTTAATAGTTTATAATTTTATATATGTTTGTTTTATTGATGTCTTCCTCTTTATGACTGGGAAATATTTTGCTTTTTCCAAGGAGCTATTAAGTAAAAGGAAAAGAGATGATATTTCAAAAAACAGACCTCCGTCCTTTACCTCCCAGAAAGTAATTAGCTAGCTATGGCCCAAACATTACCTTTCAATATTCCTGCCCATCTCTCACTTTCTCTCCTCATATCTCTGTGCTCATGCTGAGCGTGTGGGTGAAAAGAACGACTTAGTTGGTGTCACTCACCTTCATTCCTTCCAACTAGCTTGTTCATCAGATAGGATTTGCCTGTGCGGTAGAGGCCCACAATAGCCACCACGACAAGGGGCTGGGTGAAGGCAGACAGGATCTTCAAAGCTTCCTGATTAACTCCCAGTTTCCCTTCGATGTTCTCAATGAGGCACACTGGGCCTGGCATGAGGATCTCTGAGGCCATGTCCAGGGTGAGACCTTGTCTGCAAGGGACTAGATGAGATGGATTAGAACTTCCAGTTTCTAAGCAGAGAAAGTCATTTTGCTTTCTGCATCTGGGGACATTCTACTACCCAACAAGCCCAAGTTTCTAAAGAAAGCATTATTATTATTAGTTAATGACAGCAAAGCAGGTCATAGGAAAATAAGTCCTAAGTCTGCCAGAGGTCTATATAGGGTACTCCACTGCTTCTTAAATATGTGGTGGGCTCGTGGAAAACCATTCCCTGAATCTCATCTATTGCTAGCTTGAATCTGACTCTCCTCCGCTGGTTTTTGGCTTGCTATGCTTCTAATTTTTTACCTACATGAATCTCCATATGGAATCTTTATGAGCACTCTTTATTATATTATAGTTCTTGCTTTTACCCCATCTAAACTTGCTTTTCTGGAATGTAGGGGTATGTTCAGACAAAGTGCATTATAAATCCTGGCAGGTCATTACATAACATTATTGAACAAATCATAGTTGTTTAAAATAATTTTATATAGCTATTGGTGTGCCTTTTTCAATCAAAACTTTTAAGGCATGATCATTTTATGAATGTGAAAATACTTTAAAAAATATTATTCTAATTATTTCAGAGAAGGAGAGAAAGGGAGAAAGAGAGAAAAACATCAATGATGAGAGAAAATCATTGAATGGCTTCCTGCTGTACACACTTTGGGATTGATCCCAAAATTCAGGCATGTACCATGACTGAGAATCAAGCCATGCCCTCCTGGTTCATGGGTCAATGCTCAACAACAACAAAAACTTTAAAAATACATATATTTTTAAAATTTATTTCACAGAGGAAGGGAGAGGGAGAGAGAGATATAAACATCAATGATGAGAGAGAATCATTGGTTGGTTGCCTCCTGCATACCACTTACTGGGGACTGAGCCTGCAACCCTGGCATGTGCCCTTGACTGGAATCAAACCTGGGACCTACCCACCAAACCAAACCAGCTAGGGCTGAAAAGATTTTAAAAATAATACTTAACCATTTATTTGGGGGCATCAATTCCTATAACCTAATAAAACATGTTTAAGCTAACTGAGATTTAAGCTCTTCTGCCTTGCCTTATTATAAAGAACAATTTTCTTTCATTTTATAAGTAATTAGTGGCCTGGTGTACAAAATTTGTGCACATTAAAAGGGAATTAATTAGGGGGGCAGGGACAGGAGCCTCATGTCCCAGGCCAGTGCAGGGAGAAGGAACATGAGCCTCACATCCCTGGACCTGTTGCCAGGGTCAGGGACATGAGCCTCAAGTTCCCAGGCTGGTGCAGGGGGCTGGGATTCAAGCCTCACATCTTAGGGACTGTTGCCAGGGGCAGGGACAAGGGCCTCATGTTCCGGGGCTCGTCTTGTACAGGGGGTGGGGACGCAAGCCCCACGTCCCAGGCCCACTGCTGGAGTTGGGGATGAAAGTCTCATGTCTTCAGGCTGGCGCAGGGGGCACACTGATCATCACTCCTGCCAAGTAGTCTATGGCTCATGGGCTGCCTGCAAATCAGGGAGAAGGAGGATGTGTGGAGCTTGTGATTCAGAGGAGAGAGTTCTGAGGAGTAAACAAAATTACCAGGCTGTAATGAGGGTCAAGTTGGGCAACTGCTGAAGCAAGTGATAGTAATAACAGAGGCATTAGCCTAATAGAAACAGAATCCAACATAAGGGGACTTAAGGAAAGGGCGGGTGTCAAGAAATCAAAAGCTAATTGATTCATGTTATTTCTAAAGGTAGAAATCTACTTTCAAACAATGTATAAGACTATGACTAAAACTATATAGTAGTCATTTTCATGAAAGCTCTTTATTATTTATTTTAGGTTTTAACTTTTTTGGGCTTTAACGATGTAAGCAAGCTATTTACATTGCATATCATTCATTGCTCTTTCTCACAAAAATAATAGTTATAACTGTTGAAATTTTCAGGATGACTTTGAACTAACTTAATCAGAGTTTATCAAAGATTAAGATAACTGAAGTGGCAATTATGATCCCCATAGGTCGTAAACTGGCAAAGGAAGAAAAACAGTGTTAAGACATTTCAAACTCCGGTTAGTCTCTACACAAGTTTCTGTCTAGCTCAGCAGGAAGCAAATGTAGCTGACACTTAATGAATGCTGCTTCCTGTCTGACCGCACCTCAGTTTTGTTTTTAAGTAAGTCTGATATCCCACATCAGGTTCAGCTGCAGCCTATCCTGGATAAAATGTTTTTAAAACCTCCTGACGCTTGCACATCTTTTACCACCCTGTCCCCAATCTTACCTTAACTATAAAGTCAACAGCAGGGATCTTTTAGAGCTGCTAACAAAGCTGCTTCAGGAGACTGTTGTAAGAGTCCTAACTCTATCTCTCAGTTGAGCTGTGCTGGTTTGTGCTAAACTTCTCCCAACCAGGTCGTAGGGATTTTATTTTTCTTTATAGCCTCTTTCCACTCCTTCACACCCACACAGAGCAGAGGATTAGAAGTTGGTTTCCCAACATCACAAACGGAAACTGAAAGACCAGGAGGCAAGCTCACTGACTGGGCAGCTCATGTCCTGTGGTATTGCCAGGTGGGTGTACTTGACATGATTTCGCAGAAATTGCATAACGTTGATGAAAAAGAGTTTCACTTTTGTTTTCTATTTCAAATTGTTCTCAGGAAAGTGAGAATCCACAATTCTACAGTTAATAACTCTAAGTATGACTAAACTATGTAAATATACTTTTTTTTTTCCTTTTTAAGAAAGCGAGCATGTTTGTATTTTGCATTAAAGATATCGGTAGAATTTTCTCTGATAAAATTGAGTTAGGCATATATAGAATACATTGCTGTATAATGCCAATGAAAAATTAACTTACTAAATAAATAAGCCAAATGCTGAACAATTGTAAAGAATTGAAAGAAAAGATAATCTCTTCAGTAAGTGGTATTGAGAAAGCTGAACAGATACATGAAAAAAAAATAGATGAGATTTTTATACCATATACAAAAATAAATTCAAAATGGATTCAAGACTTATATGTAGCAACTGAAACCATAAAACTTCTAGGAAAAAATATAAGCAATAAACTCTTTGATATCAATCGTAGCCATATATTTTTTTTAATGTCTCCTTAGGCAAAAGCAGCAATAGCAAAAATAAACAAATGGAAATACATCAAACTAAAAAGCTTTTGCATAGTAAAGAAAATGATCAACAAAATGAAATGCAACCTACTGAATAGAAGATATTTGCAAATAATATATCCAATAAAAGTTTAATACTAAAAATATATTTAAAAAAAAACTCATACCATTCAACATCAAACACATACACACACACACACACACCCCTTATTAAAAAATGGGCTGAGGATCTGGATAGACATTTCTCCAAAGAAGACATAGAGATAGCCAATATACACATGATATATGCTCAACATCACTAATCATTAGGGGAATGCAAATCAAAATCACTATGAAATATCACTTAATACCTGTCAGAATGGACGTTATAAAAAAGACAATCCTATATAATAATCCTATATAATGAAGAGGTAATATGCAAATTAACCCTCACACCCTCACAAGATGGGTGCCTATGACAATGCCAGCAAGGGGGATAGTGAGGGATGACCGAACAACTGAACAAGCAGGCTGCATGGGGCAACCAGGCCAGCCGGAGGGCTGTTAGAGTAGGAATGTAAACTGGTACAGCCACTGTGAAAAACAGTGTGGCTGCAAAAAATAAAAAATAGAACTACCAGACAGCAATTACACTTACAGGTATTTATCCAAAAAAACAAAGACACTGATTTGAAAAGATATATATATATATATATATATATATATATATATATATATATATATATCTGTGTTTATTACAGCATTATATACAATAACCATACTATGGAAACAACCTATATGTCCATCAATTGATGAATGGATAAAGAAGATGTAGTACATATATAAAATGGAATATCCTATATTATAAAGAGGTAATATGCAAATTGACCCTCATGCCTTCACACAAGATGGCTGCTCCCATGTGGTCAAAGATGAGAAAAGTGGGCAACCAGGCCAGCAGGGGAGGGCAGTTGGGGATAATCAGGCTAGCAGGGGAGGGCCATGGAGGTTGACCAGGGCTGCAGGTAAGGCAGTTAGGGGCGACCAGGCAGGCAGGAGATGGCAGTTGAGGGTGATTGAGCTGGCAGGGGAGGGCAATTGTGGGCGATCGGCCTGGCAGCCAAGCAGTTACGCATTGATCAGGCTAGCAGGGGGGTGGTTAAGGGGTGATCAGGCTGGCAGGCAGGCAAGTGGTTGGGAGCCAGCAGTCTCAGATTGTGAGAGGGATGTCCAACTGCCAGTGTAGAATTGGGCCTAAACCAACAGTTGGACATTCCCTGAGTGGTCCCAGATTGGAGAGGGCGCATGCTTGACTGAGGGACACCCCCTCTGGTGTGTGAATTTCATGCACCAGCCTCTAGTTGCTCAATTAAATAAATAAATAGATAGATAGATAGATAGATAGATAGATAGATAGATAGATAGATAGATAGATAGATAAAATCTTGACATTTGTGGCATGAATGGACTTAGAGGTGAAATATCTTGGATAGAGAAAGAGATATATCATATGATTTCACTTATATGTGGAATATAAAAAACCACACAGATAAACAAACAAAATAATATAGAAACTAACTCATAGAGATAATTGAGGGGAAGAAGTTTGGGGAATGCATAAGAAGATGAAGGGGAAAGAGCTACAGAAGTTCAATTATAAATAAATCACTATGATATAAAGTACAGCATAGGGAATTTAAATTAATGAATGGGTAACATACTAATTAGACTGGACATCTTCCAGACATCTTTCTGGACAAAACCATGGTGGTGAGGGCCAAGGCAGAAGTGGTTAGGGGCAACCAGGCTGGCAGGGGAGAGCAGTTGAGGGCAATCAGGCCAGAAGGGGAGAGCAGTTAGGGGTGATCAGGCCAGCAGAG